TTACGCTACCTGAAAGTTTCTTATTTGGATAATTATCTTTTTCAAGCGTGAGGCTGAGTAATGACGTCACATGACACCAGATACCATAGAGCGATGCGCCCGCCGCGCTTGCTTACAAAACGTTGATCTGCTCCGTGCTTACGAATTATACCGATCCTCACCATTGGGATCTCGGGAATGGTAAAAGATACGAAGTCGCTTAAATCGGGGCAAAGTAGCGTATTAAGGTAACTAACATGCCTGTCGGAAAGCTTCGAAATTCAAAGTACTTCCTGAGGTAGACGGAAAAAACCGAAATTTCCCAAAATCGTATTAATTTTTTCCTGGCTTTATTTGTAGTGGGATTTCAAAATAAATTGGACACTAACAGATGGCATAATTAGAACATCAATATGACGTTTCGTCTCTTGTTCTCCAGCCTCAACTTCGTTTTTTCTTATAGTCGCCATATTGAATTTTAACACAGGTGAATAGAGTTCTGATTCCAAAAATGTATAATGTGACATACATTTACATTGCCAATCCTTAGTTATTTCAGAAAAACAGATTTTCCTAGGTAGGCATTGGAATTATCAGTCATTTGTTTCATATACCAGACCAGACATCAAACTGAACATAGTAACAGTTTGGAACACTGAGAAGAAGGGAAATAAACCGAGCAGCAAACAATGTACAGAGAAGAGTCAGGTCTTGCCTAGGAAATAACGGACAAGGATTTGAAGATCTCTCATGATTTACTTCTGCCTGTTTATGATTATTATTGTTATTACCATTAAATAAATTTTCATTTCGTGTTTAGGTTCCACCATACCTTTTTATTTCCTTATAATTTTTATTTACTCGTATAATGGAAGCCGAAACAAGAAAACTCGAATTGAAAATTTTACTACGCTATGTTGTAGAGGAGAAAAATGAAAGCTTGTAATTTACTTAGAAATCGCTTTTAACGTCAGAAAAAATAAAATGATTTTGAGATAAATCTGGTATACGAAACAAATGACTATACGATAATTTTAAGACCGACCTAGGGAATTCTCTTTTGATCATAAGTAAAATCTCTATTCACCTATGGCAAAATCCAATATGGCGTCAAGTAGGACAAATAAAGTTTTTGCTGGAGGACGAGAGACGAAACGTCATATTGAAATTCTAATTATGTCACCTTGTAAAGGAGAAAATGTGGCATGTTAGTTTGTAATTTATTTTGAAATCTCGCTAGAAATAAGGTCAGGAAAAAATTAAAACTATTCTAGGAAAATTCTGTTTTTTCCATCTCTTTCAAATGAAGTACTTTGAATTTCGAAGCTTTCTAAGCGATATTTTGTTAGTTACATAAATAGGCAACTTTGCCCCGTTTAAGCAACTTTGTATCCCAATGGTGAGGGTCGACTTTAAAACAACAAAAGTACAAACAATTGTATAATCAAATAGTGTCACGTTTTAAAATATTCACCTTTATTGAGATGTGTCAAAAAGGATTGCGGAATCGAAGGTACTTGCCAATCGACACCTGACACTATACGATATTTTTCCGCAATTAGTGAATTCAAAAAGAGTTTAAAATAAGCCCATTAGACTCCATTCTATTTCGAATAGTAGCATGTTTATCAGTGTCCCAGTTGAGAAATATATCAATTTTGGCTGCCGCTGACTGCAAGTTTGGCAATTATGCAACATCATACAATCATACATAAATTATACCTCGAAGACATATAAAACTGTAATTTGAGCGCAATCGATAACCCTTTTTGCATCCATAGATTTTTTTTCATTTTCAGCGTCATCAAAAAATTTGCTGCAAACAGCCGCCATATTAGAACCGCTATTTCGATTTTTGAACAATCGATATTGAGTTCGTTATTAGCGGCCCTGAAATTGACTATAAATTAAATTTCAGCGCAATCGACACATTTTTTTGGAAAGATGTAGGTGTACATATATACATAGATTCACCATTTAGATCTTTGACAAATGGATAATTCGTTCTCAACGACTAAGAAGTGGCATAGGAAGTAAAAAAGTAATCAGAATTGAGTTTAGCAACCATTCAAAATATCCACATGCAGCAACCTAATGTCATTTCCAACAAACTTGTCAACTACACCAAAACTATGTAAAATCCAAGTAAAGTAACTGCGCTTAAGTATCAAATTTTAGTCATCGCAATACATCTATTCTACAGGAATCTACGAGTTCTTACGTGAAATACTATTAAAGTCTCTGGGGCTTCCCCTAACTCTAGGTCTACAGCTACTATCGCGATTGCACTCATGGGCATTGTAGGAAAATTTTGTGAGGAAACGTTTCAAGTCGATCAGACTGTGACTAAAATAAGGAATGCGATATCGTGTTCACCAAACATATCAGTTTAACCTACGCTTCCTGAAGCTGTGTAATTGTGGATATTATCCCGATCGAACAATCTTCTGATAGCAAACGTCGGTTTGTCGGAATATCTGCACTCTGCATACCGGTCGGCACGTACTCATTACAGATGTGCCTCTGGGTATACGTTGAGTGCGAGTAATAAGTACTTCAGTAGACATATACCGGCTCACAAGGCAGAAAAAATGCGTAACCGCAATGTTGGAAGCTGGAAATGGACCACAGCTGGGCGAGCTTGCGTGCGCCTCCAAATGGAAAAATCACCCAGTGAAGCAGATCCAATCAATTCAATTTGGAACCAATATGTTATATGTATGTTTTCCTTTACATGACGGGTAGATCTTGAGAAAATAAGCGGATATACGTAATAGCATATACACCAATGTCTTAAGAGAACCGAGATATTGGGCTCCGCAAAATCAATTAAACCTGAACCAAACCGAAGCCGGTCCTGTCCTATCCCTCGATCACGTCCATAGCGTCAGCGCCAGCGTACAGTTATACGACCTGTGACTGCGATGTAAATACTGATTTTACGACAGAGCCATACTTGGAATTTCAATTCAATTGAGTACTTTTTCATTTTTTTTTACTTGTTCGCTCACGTTTCAGCACACATTAGCTTTGTTATATAAAGCGTAGTTGTGTCTGAAGGAAAACCCCAACTTTGCGGACGTCCTGTATAAGCAATTAAAAACAAAATTATATTGCTTCTGTATACATTCAAAACACGTATTTCTTAGGAAAGGGGTGAAATACGAGATTATGAGATATAGTGGACAGGATGCTTGAAATTCTTGTGCGCCTGATCCAGGCGTGTGGCCACGCTGTCCTGTTGTAGCATATCCCAAAGTATGTCATCTGGGATGCAGCAGGGAAACTGTCCAGCTCTTTTATATATTTTCTTAAGGCACCTCTCTAATTAAAGAATGCCACTTTTACTTTTGCGTGGGAACACACCAGCAAGTCCGCATGTTATTACCGGGTAGGTGCATGCTTCACTTATTTTCAATTTAACTTCTATAGAATCATTCGAGCTGACGCCAATGATTGGAGACAGAGCCTAAGCTGCTCGATTAGCCTTAAAGATTCTCTCTTTGATGACGCCGTTCGTGATTACTGTTTTATTACGATTGAGCCCAAGGTATCGGATTTGATCAAGGACGGAGGTTATGACCGTTCGCTCCCCACTTGATCTGTTTAGTTCATGCTGATCCAAATATAATACACTCAGTTTTCTGCTTATTACAAGTAAGCCCCCTCCGCACTGGTATTATGTAAAAAACTTATAAAACGTCAAAAAAACCTGTCATCTTGCAGAGTAGGTGGTTTTTAAAGTGCAAAGAGAATTTCCACGTTTGTTCACTAGGATCGCTGTGAGCATCCATCTTTGGACAAATAGCTCAACTACACGTATTGTTGGTTGCATATGTTTTGTGAAGCCAGGTAGTCTATAGTTTTCATCAGAGAAGAAAGTTGGTTGAATAGCAAGATCGCATCTGGATTTTTGTGTGTATTGGTCTGCATCTGTATAAAATCAGTGATATTTGCTGTATGAGAAAATCATTACTGAATATGCTGCCAATGAGGTATATCTATTAGCTGTGTCCGACGGGTTATTCATACGTTGTCCTTTCTGAAGACAGGTTATCTTCAAAGCTTTAAATTACGATCTTTTACGTTTTTTGTGTTTTCGAAAACTATGGCAAATCACAAGCACACCCGCGTTGTGTGTAATTACTGTTAGCATGTATATGCCTTGTAATTTGGCAGTATACAGTGAATATATTATTATTATCAAATTCCAGAACGATTAAGAAAAAGTGGATGAGCAACTAATTTCTAGCTTTGAATCTCAAGTAAGTGTATTTGAGACAGGAATCCGATGGAATTATCATCAACACATTATTATCACACAAATCCTCGCTATGCACCTATGACTTGCCGTTACCTCCAGTAATGCCATCTCTGAAGCAGATCTTACATCACATCATACGAGGGATGTCTTGTAAGTTTTGCATATAGAGACATAGTAGGCCGGGCGGATTGAACGTCATCTGAACCTCACTCTTTAGTAAACTTAAATTCAAAGTTTCACAACAATACGTGCAGTGTTCTCAGTACAGTGAATTTTTAAGTGTCACCAAGTCATTAGAAAAATGGAACTCAACCGAGAAAACTTTCGCGCCATAGTTTATTACAACTTTCAGAGACAATTATCGCAAGAATGCCTTGCTGAGTTACTGTCTGTTTTCGGCAACGAAGTGCCACATCAGTCGACAATTTCCCGTTGGTATGGAGAATTCAAACGTGGACGGGTGAGTCTTAGCGACGATCCCAGGGTGGGTGCACCAAAAACGGCAGTCACCCAGGAAAACGTCGATGCTGTGCGCAAACTCATCGTTGAGTGGAATAAGTGCTTCGAAAATTGGTTCGAGCGCATGCAGATGTGTATTAATCTTCGTGGAAAATACTTCGAAAAACAATAAAGTCATTTAAAGCTACCTACCGTGTTGTTTTATTTCCATGCCTCGCCGCTGGGCGACAGGTTCGGATTCAGAAAAAATTTAGTATATCGATAAGAATACAAAGTTTTATGTAAATCCTGAAATGACTTTTCCTGCTTAAGTTCAATTCAAATGCTACAAAGGGTTAACATTTTGAGAAACAGATTTGGTGATAACAGAATCGAAAAATTATAACGCATTTTCATAAAATAAATTCATTTTTGAAAATATTCAGGCTTGATGCTTTATAGGAAGAGGAAAGGAAAAGGTCCAAGGTATTGGAAGAGATGGTTGGAGATTTATCCAAGGAGAACCAAATGCTTAGGAAGGATGTTGATGGATTGAAACTCACTCTTAACAAAGAGGACTCTGAAAGGTTGGTTAATAATTTGTTTATTACCGGTCTTGTTACTAAAAATGATGATAAAGAGCAAGCATTGGAGAAAACTTGAGCTTAATTTTCTTTTCTGGATACACCTATCTCTCGGAATGATGTAGCTCATTTTAAACAAGTTGCAACCAAAAACGGCGTAAAGGCTATAGTTACCTTGAAGCCTGAACATAAAAAGCAGATTCTTACAACTCGTTCCAAAAAAGGGAAACTAATACTTAGGAACACTAAATGTGGTGATGCGGATTCTAGAATTTTCGTCGATGAGGAGCTGACCAAGGAAACGTACCAGTTATTCAAACACTCAAGGCAACTTAAGGGTGTTGGCTACAAATATGTGTGGCATCGAGAGGGGAAGATCCTAGCTCGCAAGAATGATGGCGCTGATATTATTTTCATCCGGAATATTAGTCAAGTAAATGATCTACTTAAGTAGCCTTTTATCTCATTTGCTTTGATTGTTTTTTATATATATTTTCCATTTGTTGCTTCATTTTTATAATTTATCATGCCTAGTATAAATCTTGAAAATAATTTAAGGATAGGACATATTAATGTACGATCACTGATACCAAGTTTGAACGAAATTAAGTCTTCGATAGATAATTTGAAGACATATTAGGAGTAACTGAATCATGGTTAACTGAACAAGTTAGTGAACAGGAAATTAAAATAAACAATTTTAAGTTTTATCGCATTGATCGTGGGTCTCGGGGAGGTGGAATAGGGGTTTATGTTCGATCTGATATTACAGTAGTTGAGATAGATGTAACTGAGAACCAGAGGGGAATTTTTGAGCAGCAATGGCTTATTCTCAAAATTAGCAAAATAAAATTGGGGTTGGGCATCATTTACCGTCCTCCTCGTTTTGATGTGATGACTGCTTTACGCCAACTGGAAGAATCAATAGCTAATCTAATTCCAGTGACAGATGAATTGATTATAATGGGGGATATTAATATTAATCTATTAAGACATACTAACATAACCAAAAGTTTAATAATTTGCTTGATACTTTCAACTTCAAGAAACTTGTAATTAACCCAACTAGGTACTCCCGAGACAAAGCCAGTTTGATTGATGTCATCATCCTGTCCGATGATCATCTCTTAAGTGGCAGTGTCCATCATCAGGACTTGCATCAGCATTCCGATCATCAGCTCATACACTGTTCAATAAATATTAAGATCTCTGCCGTTAGGCCTAGAGTTATGAAATATCGTAACTTTAAACACTTTGACATTTATAGCTACAAACAAGATCTTATAAACTTCCCTTGGTGGCAGGTTGTAGACTGTGATAATGTTAACCAGAAGACTGCAATTCTCTCAGATATGATATTGACTCTTTTTGATTCTCATGCGCCAATATGTGAGAAAAAGGTCACCAGGCCACCTTCCCCGTGGTTTACTGATGCGTTGGGTGCGATGAAGAATCACCGTAACTATCTTTTCTCTAAATACAAACGTACTAAAAATTTACGGGATTGGGCATCCTACAAAGAAATGAGGAATTTTTTTACGTCAGCTGTTCGACAAGAAAAGAGAGCTTATATTTATTTTGCCAGTCGAGCTAAAAAATCCAAAGACATGTGGAAAACCCTAGACCAACTTAATATCTATAACAGATCTAAAAAAAATATAGAAATTCCTAACCATCTTAAAAACCCAAATTTAATTAATCAATATTTTATCGACTCGATGCGACAAATACCTAGTACTCTCGATACTAATACTATTTCTAAATATCTTAATTCCAAATGTACAACCGCAGAATTTGAATTGAAACTCGTTAGTGAAGATGACGTTTTCTGGGCAATATCGGAGATTGGGTCAAACGCTTCTGGTGCAGACGGAATTAGCCTTGACGTGGTGAGGTTATGTTGTCCAACGATCTTACCCATGCTTGTTAACCTATTTAATTCCTGCATACAAAAGGGCATTTTTCCTGCGCAATGGAGAACGGCTGTGGTCTTGCCGCTGCCTAAAATTAGCAGCCCTAAGGATGTCTCTGATTTGCGACCAATTAGAATACTACCAGTGCTGTCTAAAGTATTTGAAAAGCTTATTTATAGGCAAATAATTACTTATTTCACAGACAATAATTTATTATCCAAGGTGCAGTCTGGATTCCGTAATGGGTACTACCGCGGCACTGTTGAAGGTTCTAGATGACATTCTTTTGGCTGCGGACAGGGGTGAAACTTCGGCATTGGTGTTGTTGGACTTTAGCAAGGCCTTTGATACCCTGAACCATGCATTGCTGTGTGCAAAACTTTTCTACTATGGATTTAAACTTAAGACTATTCAACTTATTCGTAGTTATTTGGATGACAGATCGCAGTCGGTCTCAATTGATGGGCTTAAATCAAAACCCTTGAACGTGGATAGAGGAGTTCCTCAGGGATCACTTTTGGGTCCTTTATTTTTTATCATTTTTACTGCTGATATGTCGGAGTGCTTTGGTGATATAAACAAACATAGATACGCTGACGATACACAGATTCAGCTTGCTTTTGCTAAGTCGGACGCAATTGAAGCGGCTAGGAGGCTAAACGAGTGTTTGGATTCAGTTTTTAAAAACTCTTTTAATCATAGCTTGAAATTGGATCCTAATAAATCAGCCATAATTTACTTTGGGCCAGCTAAAGATTGGGCATCTGTAAACTTGGTGATAGCAATGGATGGTGTGGCAATACCGGTTGTAGACGAATATAAAAATTTGGGCGTTATCTTTGATAACAAGCTAAGATTCCGAAGTCATGTGTCCAGGCTTCTACTAAAAGCCTATTTTAATCTACGCAATATTTACAAAAGTAAAGATATTCTTAGTTTTAAGTTAAAAAAGGTTCTCTGCGAAGCACTGGTCTTGTGTCACCTTAACTATTGCAACTTTGTGTATGGTCCTTGCTTAGATGTATTTACTAAGGATAAACTCCAAAAAGAATTATTGCATACGACTTATTTACCAGCTTAGACGTCACGATCATGTCAGTCATAAACTTTCCGAACTGAAATTGTTGAATGTTTCCAATCGAGAAAAGCTGCATTTTGCTTGCTTTCTTCATAAATTGATTAAAACTAATAGCCCTCCATATCTGATTGAAAAATTAACTCGTAGAAATCTGATTCATTCTCGTGCAACACGCTTTAATGTACTTTATGAAATACCTAAAATAGCTAAAACCATGACTCAAAGCTCATTTTCCTATACATCAGCGAAACTTCTAAACCAATTCAATATAGGTCAATTTGAAGATATGTCTCCTAATATGTTCAAACGAAAACTGAAACAACTGCTCCTGTGAAGTATAAATAAGTTGTTTATTATTACTTATTTTCTTTGTATACGTACATCTGTAGTTATTATTGTTCATTGTTGTTATGTAATATTCTAAAATTAATGTAATGTAAAACTTGTTTCTTGTCATATTACTTTTCTTTTTGGCTTGTTGTTACTTGTGACTTAAAGGTGTTTTTATTTATTATTATCAACTTTTAATTTCGGTGATCGTTGTCAGACTTGAATCAGCACTCTTTATTAAATTTGACGCCTTATCTCTGTCAATATTCTTATTCATGACATATATAGAGCCAACCGCGTATTTCTTCATTTCATTTATTGGCATTAGGACATAAAGAGCCCATGCAGCCAGACTCAATATAGATGGTAATAATAATAACAATAATAAGGTACCGTAATAAAGAATATTAAGTCATATATAATTATAAGATATAATGAGTTTTACCTAATTTACCTATACATAACGAAAATACTAGACGAGGGTACTTAACGAAAAGACGGTCACACTCTTCTTGTCACGAGGCTTTTCATGGACTTTTCATAGACAAACAAAAAGGTTTCAACAAAAAGGAAAAAACACGGGGACAGCGACAGCTAAGCTCAATACGTATATGGATCTCCTTAAAAAAATTAAGAATGCTATGGAATATATTGAGAGAGTTCATGGACGGAATAAATACTAAATTGTAGGGAGAAAAAATTATGAATCTTCCTGAAGACTGAGGCCACCCAAATAAATTTATTTGGTCTAGACATTTCCGGTCTATGATACTCATTCCCTAGAAAAATGATATATTCTGATAAATGTCTTGAAATCTTTATCTAGTGGTAGTCTGAAACTAAAACAAAACGAAGTTGTCCTACGTAACAAGCCACATCTCTAACGGCAGTAAAGTTACAAGCCACAAATGTATTTAATGAGCTACTCGCTCAGAGTCACTATCAGAACTACTGTCAGTCGTAAGATATGGTCTGTACTTCACAATTTCATCTTAACTCAATCCAGAACGATCTGTATCATTGAAACATCCGTTGTTTTCACCATCGTCTAATTTCTGTTTAGCGCTCAACTTGGCTTAAAATGTGTGGGTCCTCGTGGTTGTTCAAAAACGCCATTCAAAGATAGTAGCGACATCTATAAGCGAACTATCAAACAAATCAACCTTAGACATAGATACCAACGTCACTGGTGGTTTTAGATGGAAAGGTGGTTTTTTAGTCAAATATGGTTTGGGTGTCCTTATTGCCCTAAATCCTTCAATTGTAGCATGTCCATTATTATTAACTAATATAATTTTACGTGCAAATACAAAATCCACTTTACCTTATCCGTTTTGCCCGAAATCACTTATGTAATAATTTTGTTGTTTCCTATCAAAGCTATTGACTCAACCCTTCTTATTTGTCCCCTAGATATTTGAAAAAGCTATATGGATAGTACAAAAATAGAATTACATGCATAACACTTGCCGATTACTGTAGAAAGTTAAACGAATACGCTTACGTATTTCTTCTCGGCAATTTGAGTTTCCCACTATGTTCGCTTTGCACAGATTTCCTTTTTACATATCTTAAGGTTACATGAAAACATGCAAAATTGAACATGTGACATGTTGATACGTCAATATTTGATTGTAATTTTTAATTTTAAGTAATAATAAATATGTTTAACTTGTTTCTTTTGTGTAAGTTATATACAATGAACTTTATTTCTTCTAAAGCAACATAAGTCAAAATATTTTTGAGCTTTTCCGTTATTATCACTAGCAAACTGTGTAGGTGATTTGACACTGTACAATCTTTTAAAACTCAATGCTTTATGAAGCTCAAATAGGTTCTTTAAAACTGTTTCTTTTTGGCAATGATACAAATTTAAATGCTTTCTCAAATATCAAAGTTGTGTGAATTACTAGTTTTGTTGAATGATCGTTTCAATTAACTTCCTCCTCGAATATAATATTAACTCTAAGGTCCGCTTGGCAACAATGTCTTTCAGTCGCTGGGGATTCCGGAATCCCTGTCGCGATCCGAAATATGCCCCTAACGAGACCATAAAACATTGTTGACTAGATCCACTTCGGCATCGGGTATTTCCTAATGAGAACTTTCGAACCTTTGGCTAGGTAATCGATCAAAAAACCTCAAAGCCTCTCGGAATGGCCGGCCAACCTTTTGTCTGCTCACTTTTTCGATAAATCCGACGTTTTTTCGACGCGGCTGACTTTTGATCGGGGTTCGCCTTCTAATTGGTTGAAAAGATTTGCTTGGATGTAATTGTCTGGGAGCAAATCAGCAACTGGGAACTCGGTAAGAGGAGGGGATGTTTTAGTATTGGGTGGT